GGGGGGGGGGGGGGGGGGGGAATGTGTTCCTGTCAATAGGAGAAAAAGCTCTACTGGAAGCTGCTCTGACCTGTATACTAGTTCTAGGGCATTGACTTGGTAACAATATAATGGTTCTAAGCAGAGCAAACCATTTACCATCAGATCATAAGCAGTGTCAATCCTTAAACCATGCAGAACTGTTGGTATTGGAAACTTTGCAATATTAAGCTCCACTATATCAACCTTTTTTTTTCTGTATCTTTGTAGGGTTGGTTACAGTTGTCATGACGCAGGAGAATAACTTTTTAAGGCGGTAGGTATTTTAACAATTCTTATTCTGAATGCATATGATGGTTGTATATGATGACAACATAGTTCAGCTGATTTTGCAGTGAAGAACAATCTTTCGCTCCTATCTGATACATCCTGAGAATTTATAGCTTGTTACTTTAGGCACAGTATTATTGAGATCAATGGTATCAACCTGTTCCTTTTATAGGTCTGGCTACAGTTGACATGTCATATCTGGGGAAGGTTGCTTTTGAAAGTGGTAAGTATTTTGTTATTTTAGTCTTTGTGCTTGAATGTATGAGAAAATTATCATTTGGGGGAGTTGAGTCTTTCCCTCCTATGTGATGCATTCTGTAGTTGGGATTGACCATTGCTTGCTAACAAGGTATTTGTCAAATACATTGGCCATAGACTCTTGCTAGAAGTATAATTTGCCTACAAATTAAGGTTAATAATCTGTCTATTGAATTTTAAATATCGCTTCACATATTGCTAAACGTTGTAGATGCAAACTATATGCAAAGTAATGACTTCTGGCTTGAAGGCGGCAAGATTTGATAGAAAAAAAGGGCTGAATCTGAAAATTCTGGTTGCCTGGAAGTCATGATGGTCCAGAGTTGCTAATACCTAATGAGTATCCGGAACAGATGTTTAGGTCACTGACTTGGGAAACTACTGATGCCAATGCAATAGTACAGCAGCTAGGCAATTAGCATTTTCAGAAGATGCAAGTGGTATTCATGATGTTTTAGAGAGCTGTTTTCTGGCTCAGACATAATCTAATCTGATCTGGAGTGGTGACTTGCTTGAGTGGCTTAGACTTACCCTAGAACCAGGTTTTAAGAATGGCAGCTTCATCAAAGCTTTATACCCACATGTGTTTTTAATTTTATGGCTGTATCTGAAGTCAAACAGGATGTTTTAGTATTTGAAATTGCCTGAATGTGCCTGTTTTCCAATAGTCTGTAAATGATGACTCTGAATCAGGTCTCTGATCACTTTGAGGACAATGTGACTCACTGATGCAGACTAAGGCTAGGTCAAATTTTGTCAAACTGATCTGAAATTTTGTCAAACTGATCTGAAATTTTGTCCTAAACAGAATCTTTTCCCTTTTCAGATTTCCCATGGTTAATCAGGCTGGAGCTATGGTAAGTGGAGCTTGTTCCAGGTAGAATGTACAATTGGCTCTCAAATGACCTGTAACCAGTGATGAAAATGATTCTGCCATATGAAATCTGCTGATTTTCACCATTTACCGTTCCACTTCTTTCTGAGGTTATGTGGTCTACATAGAGGCACTTGGGTAAACTGCCCTTTGTAACAACATAATAAAGCTTGGTCACCCTTCCCTCAAGTGAGTCACTTAATATCCCCACCAACATATACTGTCTTTCTTTTGCTACCTCCTGTATAGAAAACCAGGAGCTAACTGAAAAGACCTGGCATCCAAGTGTGGGGTATGTCTCTTGCCTTCTCCCTTGACAAGTCAGTTTAGAGCTTACACGGGTCTTTTCCTGGTCATAGTTGGTGGGGATGGAAGTGATCCTCTTAGTATGGCCTATATAATTGTTGTGGTTCTGTAGAAGTTGGTTATTGGCATTTTATCTTGACGGCCATAGTAGTTTCTAATGACTTTGATCAGTTTTGTTGTGTAGTCCTGACTTGTTATTTGCACAAACTGAATTAGTGTCTGTTCTTGTGAAGATAATTTGTACTATATAGACACTAAAGTTTCTAATGTCAGAAGTTAATTTCACAAAGGTATTAACATCTGTGTTTCACAGGTATCACATTCTACAAAGCTGGATGTAGAGATCTGTTGCACCATCTTGTAAGTGTGCCATCTAAACTGCATTGCTTTATGGGGGGGGAAGTATGATGACAAATACTTTGAACTCTCTCACTGAATAAAGATGAAAGTAGAAGTACTGACTTCCCTGTGTCTTATCTTGCTTGAGCTTTTTATGTTCAGTTATACTAATATCTTGTCTTTTTGATCTCTACAGATTTCATGTTGAAAGAAAGCCTACAGGCACAATAGCTCAACATTGCTGTTCATCCTTGTCTATATGCAGTGGTTAAGCATTTGGATTCATATATTTTGTAGGACATAGTGATTGTTGTACTACATGATAAATAAAATATGGAAACTACATTGTAAAATGGCTTTTCCTTTTTGTGGTAGAAAAGGAGTAAAAGGTTTATGACTAGCCTAAGGTCAAAATTAACATGGCCATTGCCACCTGCTTGTGTACAAAAAGTGTAGATCCTGAAATGGAATGTAAGTGCTCCTTTATAGTAGACCAGAGCTTAAAGCTGTACTCACCTGAACTTAACAGCCAGCCCTATACAGTGTATAAGACTAGAGGACTGAGGGAAATTCCATCTCTGGAGAGGGGACAGCCAGGCTGGATGGATTGGTCTAACAGCCAGCTGGCTCAAAGGTTCAGGTGAGTAACTATCTTCATCCCTAGATGAAAATGAGCACTTAACCCTTGCAGTGCGATGATGGCCCCACTGCAAGGGGTGAGAATATTTATAGGAGTTCAACTATCCAGTTACATGTGAGAGGAACTCCAGACACCTTCCAGTGAGTGTTGTGGGGCAACCTATGCTAAGTTTTTATGAAGGCTTTCCCATTCAGTACTAGCCATGCAAATCTATTCCACTGACATATACAGTCTACAGGAGGATGTTGGGAAACTAAGGTGGTTTCCCTCCCCCAGCTCTACTAGATCCATTATACTAGTTTATCCACATAACTAGCTTTTGTCTTCAGCTGAAGGTGGCCCTATATGACCAAGGGTGGCAAAAGTACTTTTCTTGGTGTCTAAATGCTGCGGGCAAAGAAAAGTGGCCTTCATTGCACCACAGCCTCAGTCTGCCAACTCATTCCTTGGAACAGCTGGGGTCTAATCCTAGACATGGTTTGAGTCAGGGTTTTTGTTCCCCATGCATCACCTCCACTGTTTCTGCAAAGCAGGTCTTGGGGCTGATTGTACCCCCTTTTGAGGTAATCCCAAGCCTGTAAGGGGCCTAGGCAGCCAGAAGTGGAAAGGGATGTATGATCCTAAGTTGAAGTGCAGGTCTGAAAAGCAACCTGCAGTGCTGAAATACTATCAGGGTTACACCAGTCTTAACCACTTTTCTGAAACTAGAGTGCGCTGCAGCAAAAGACACAGGACGTGATCAAATATATAATACAGGGGAATATCTATTTGGGTTACACTAGAGCAGTAGTTCACAACCCATGTAACCACAGGACCCACATTTGTACTTAATGTTTAAGTTGCAACCCAAGTCACACTGCATTGTGGTACCATGTCTTCCAATGAGGGCTCCCACACCGCAGAGTAGGTATGATTGTGTGGTGCAGTGCATTAATCACATGAGACTGATTAATGCACTAATAGTGGGAACCTGCCCTCAAAAACACACACCAAAAAAGTTTTTTTAAGTCGCCCCCCCCCCCCTCTTCTAATTTACAAGTGGAGTAGATCCTAAGCCTGGGTTCCAGTGTGGGCTGCTGTAATGGAGCTCAATCCATATGTGCTTTGCTTGTACAGCTACCTTGCACATCAAGAGATGCTGGGAGCCAGAATGTGATGTCACTCCAGGCTCCTCTACAGAGCGAGGGCGCTCTAAGCAATGCACGTATGGATTGAGCTCTCACATGGCCATAGCCCCAGCCCACCTCAAGCTGATATTTTAAATGCTGCTTGGCATGAGAACTGACAGTTCTGCGCTAGGGGAAGGCTGAGGAGGCTCTCAACAAAAAAAAAAAAAGGTACACCGTGACCCACTTTTGGGTCCCGACCCACCAGTTAAGCAAGGCACTAGAGGTTAAAAATAGAATGGTCATTGTAGCACTTTCCAGACCTGTATTTACTGTCTTGCAAAGATCACAATCCAGTTTATCTGCACTCTGTCCATGGGTGTACTCAGTGTAGTCAGAGGCTGGGTAACAAAATAGGTAATGCCACAGCTTTGGCAAAAAATAGATTGTAACATTTCTGGCAGGTCCAGGTATGGCCTCAAAGGAAGCGCAAATACAGATGTCAGCTCAAGCAGTAGAATAAAACCATCCAGGAAGTGCCAAAAATGTTGAAAGAAAAACCATAAAATTAGTTTTCCTCAGCAGGAGAAAGCATCTGACCTGCTTGGACACTACAAACAAAACAGGGCAGGTTTATAGAGGGTCTGGGTTTTGTTTTTGTGCAAATATCAAAATCAACTTTTGACTCAAATTTTTTGTTCAAACATTCTACAATTTTCCACAAGATAAAATAAAATCCTACCAGTGTGTACCTAGTTTTAGCCCAGTGAAACTATTCATTGCTGTAGTAAAATCATCCCCCAATTTGTGGATGGATTTTTATAAACTTCAACATCAAGCAAGAAGCGGCAACTGCACAGCAAATTTGGTTCTTCACTATTCAGCATATAAATATTAGGCACAGGACAGAGGTCTGTTAAGGTTCTCAGTTTCCTTATAGAAAATACTACATCCAATAAATTGAATTTGTTCACAATTGATTAAAAATATAATTTAATGTTATTTAATTATGAATAACAGAACAGCGGGATCTTTGTTGTCACTGGAGTAGAAAAATAGTATAATAAAACCATGAAAGTTCTAAAATAGAGTCATACAGGCAGTTCCTGGCAGTGGTGATCCTGTGTCATTGCACATAGTATATGGAACTGATAACATCACGTGGTGATCAGCATTTCCAGGTGTACTTGTAGTCGCTCAGATCCAGCTGCCGTATTGAGGTCTTTCCGAGGAGCGATAATCGACTGAACTGTTCTAACGTAAGAGGGTGAAGACCACAATTTACAAGCTCGGAACTATCCTTTTCCTGGGGGTGGAATGGGGAAAAAAAAAAAAAAAGCTTAAACTACAGTACTGAAAGATTCATAGGTTGCAATTGCTGCCTTTTTTTAAAAGAAAATGTTACCCGACTTTGCTTGTTCTACATAACTAACTTGAGCTACCAATGCCCTTAGTCAAATATCTAGGCGTCATACTTGACCTTGCTCAGTATTAAAGACATTCAGTAAAATCTTTAAATGTACCGTGCTTCACTGGCATGAAATGCAATCTGCTGATCCTTGGAAGCTCTGTATATTATTCACAGGCCATATAAGCATGTAAAATATAAAAACACAGAACAGAAAGAAACAGCTTGTGCAGATAAAACACCTTTAACCCCTTCGTGACTGACGACGTACAGTGTACGTCGCCAGCATCGGGGCTGTTTAAACTTGTAGAGCCGACTGTCGGCTTTACAACAGAAGCGATCCTGGCGACTAACCTGTCGCCAGATCGCTTCTGCGTCCCGAAGAAGGGTAATTTGTTGTGTTTTGGGGCATTTAATTAAATTTGTCACTAAATTTTGGGGTTTAATAAGGAGTTGCGCTAATATTGCACAACATAAACATTTTCAACTACCACCATTTTATTCTATAGGGTCTTGGCATTCAGAAAATATATAATGTTGGGGGGTTTCAAGTCATTTTCAGGCCTAAAATGTGGAATATAACATGGGTGCAAAAATTGAAAAAAGGGCCTCAGTCATGAAGGGGTTAAATGAATTCCCATATATTATGGTAGGTGTATTCAGTAGAAGCAAACTTACTGCCAATTACAGTACACTAGAAAAGTCATGTCCAAGGTGCTGGAAGTCTGGTATTATTTTCTACAGAGGACCCACAAAATAAGAAAACCAGATTCCATGGTTCCCTTACCAACTCTTGAGCCTCATTATTGTTTAACCCCTTCATGACTGACTACGTACAGTGTACGTCGCCAGCATTGGGGCTGTTTAAACAGACTCCCGGTGACGTTTGCCGCCGGGACTCTGTTTAAACTTGTAGAGCCGACTGTCGGCTTTACAACAGAAGCGATCCTGGCGACTTACCTGTCGCCAGATCGCTTCTG